GTCATATAGAACTTGCAGTTCCCAAACCCATCAAGCTCTCCAAGTTCTACACATTCTGCTGTTTCCTGAATCTGGATCTTCCTTTCCTCCCCATTCTCTCTCCCTGCTTTTCTTAACTCCTCTTCCTCTTCCCTTAAGATCCACCCATCTTCCACACCCCGTCCCCCTTCAAGAAGTCATTTTCTCTAAATGCACTTCCTTGACTCTCTAAGGCTGATAAGATACATTCATAACCCTCTGTATTTACACTAATCAAAACACTTTCTCACATTATTTGCCTGTGTGTCTTCTCTCATTGGATAGATTCCTTGAGAATACAGATAATATTTTTACTGTTGCAGCCATGACACCTAGTTCAGCATCTGGCCATAGAAGACAATAAATATTTGTTGAATGAATGATACTTTGTTATATAGCCATTGGGTAGTAAAGTGGAAACATTTTTATCCTTTATAAATGTAATAGTTTGCCTTTAATACTGATAGGTAAGTTGGCAATTCAGACTCTTTATGTAAACTGTCCTTGAGTCCAAGGGGAGAAAAGGTGACCTGTATGAATGATGGCATCTGTCCAGCAATTATACTTTGGGAACAGAACTTCAGGCTGTTTAAAAACTGCTATGGTGTAACTGTGTGTGTGTGTGTGTGTGTGTGTGTGTGTGCACGCGGGCGCGCGTGCAAGTGCGGGAGGTATGCTTAGGAAGCATAATTGCACTCTGGAATTTCCACATGAGTATTATCACCTAGCCTAGGAGTAGGTTTCTCGCAGTTGCCTCTGGATAAGCTGGTTTCTTTCTAAAACTCAGGTGCCCATGAGCAACCCCAGCTCCTTACTTTGTAGTGGAAAGAAAGTTTGCTCGCCAGCTGAACACATGACACAAGACGCAGGATAAACTTGTTGAAAAGCTGCTCTTTCAGAGTCCTCCAATTCTGAGGCTCTTTCTTATCCCTTAGCTGGATTGTGGCTTGCCTGCAGATATTCTCTGCCTGCTTAACCATAAACCTATAAAGAAAGGAAGGGGAGAGTAAACAATCCACACTTACTCAAACTAAAGGGAGTCTCTGCTTCAAGTTATGCTACATCTTATCCTCTCCAATAGCAAGAAATTGCAAATTTACATTTGCAGTAGAGGGTGCAAAACCAGGTCTCCTGATAAAGGGCAACTAGTACTGTTTTTTGTTTGTTTGTTTGTTTATCCTCACCCGAGGACATTTTTCCATTTTTTGTTCAGATAGAGTGGGAGAGAGAGAGAGAGAGAGAGAGAAACATCGACGTGAAAGGGACACATTGAGTGGCTGCCACCCGCACGACCAACCAGGGCCAGGGACAAACTGCAACCGAGGTACATGCCCTTAGTGGGAACCAAACCCGGGTCTCTCGACCCCAGGCCGACACTCCAACTGCTGAGCCAAACCGGCCAGGGCCGTTTGTTTTGTTTTATAAAGATTTGGGTATATTAACCATTTTGGGGGGTACCATTACAAAGGCCTTATGCTCAGGGCTTTACCTTTCTAGGATTTCTACAGCTTGGTAGCTCACAGATTTCTCCAGACACCATTGTTCAGACAGGAGAAAAACAAACTCTGCCAAAACAGGAAAGAAGAGCCTAATTCACAAGGTGCAACCAAAACCACTCTGTGAACTCTTGGCGTTGTGTAAAAGCCATGATGGGGCCAAGGGAAGAGGGTCAGGAGGTGAGTAAGATGAGACTGAAACAACTCAAGCTGAGCTTAGTTCCCTTTGCTGCCAATAGGCAGATCAGAGGTATGAAAAGGAGGCTGACTGAGTGCCAAAGACAAGGGCTTACCAAGCCCCCTCAGTGACCCTGGAGCCTTCCTGTGGGTCTCAGCTGATAAAAGGCTTAGCCAGCTACACACAAACATACCAGCTGGTCTAATTGGCCTCTACACCATGCTGGGAACCCCCAGCTTCAAGGGTGATTTTTGGATGGATAAAAACCCTAACCCCTATATTCTGTTTGCAGTGGAATGTTGACAGGAACAGAAAGGTCCCTCCTGGAGCTTCAATATTCTTTATAATACTGTTTGTTTAGTAACCACCCTCTGGAGAACTCCCATTGCTTTACAAATACAATTCACCTTACAGCTGGACACTATCTCTCCACCACCAGTTTGTTGGGTAAATCCGTGGTGGCCAAGCCTCTCCCCAGGAGCGAGTTTGTTACAGTGGAATGGCGTGTTTTGAAGAAACATCCTTCAAATCGGGGAACATAGCCCAATTTAGGGGATAGGGGAGCCACTGGGAAAGTGGGAAGGGCAAGATACCTTGGCAAGATTTGAGGCTGCCTGTTTCCCTTTGAAACAACCACCCCAGATAGAATTTTATTTAGTTTGCAATATCATTAGAGGGCAGAAACTAGGGTAAATGTTAGTTCTCAATAAAGAAAGCTGCAGAACTGGGAACTTTTAGCACTGATCAGCAAAGAATTACATACAATCAAATCACCATGTCTTTAGAGAAATTTTGACTTAGAAAAAAACTATGAAAGTCAAGGTAGCACAAGATAATTTAACAGTCTACTTGTCACATGTTACACATTGGTATAGGTACAAAACCTTATCACTACAGAGACTAAAGCTCTGCTAGCAGTGTCCGGTGAAGAGACTAAGTTTAAGCAATTAAGTAAATACCCTAGAATAATTATGTATTATTAGCCAGTCCTTTTATTTGATGGAGTTTAGGCTTTCTTTTGTGTGTGTGTGTGTGTGTGTGTGTGTGTGTGTGTGTAGTTGTTTGGTTTTGGTCTGAATTATCTGGGCAATTGTTTCTATTTTCCATTTTAATTTGCCAAGAAAACTGAGCTTGGGTTAGGTGGAATGGATGAGGGTTTCACCTCTCCCTTGCTATTGGTTCCACCTCCTGCACTTACAAACATACTCAGATCTGCTATTAACTAAAAGACCTTCCCCTTCCATCCTCTTAAACTAGGGCTTTATCTAATTCCTTGAAAGCCTAGTTTACATCTGTTGCTTCCACTTCATCATTCACTTCCTAATGGTCTGCAATTTGGTTTCTACTTTTCTCAACTTGCTGAAATGATTGTCTCAAAGGCCAGCAAATATGTCCAAATTGTTAAATATCATGGCCCTTTTGCCATCCTCACTCCTGTTATTCATATCCCTGAAGCATCTGAAACTACTGTCATCCTTCTTGAAACTCTCCTCTGGCCTCCAAAGATCTCTTGGTTTTATTCTTATCTCCCAAACCACTCCTTTTATTTTCTTCATGACTTGTTTTCCTACTCCAATTTCTTGAACACAAAATGTTTCCCAAGGAACCGTCCTTGACCTTCTTTTTTCCCTCTAGTAGCTCATCTTCTGCCTCTGCAGTATCATTATGGAGACAATTCCCAAACCTTTCTCTCTAGTTCTGACTTCTGACTTTAAACAGCTTGCTAGAACCTTCCTCTAAATGTTTTACAGCACCTGAAACTCAGTGGAATCAAAACCAAAGTGATTATCTTTCCCAAACAAAAGTCATACTTCCTCCTGTTTTATTTTCTTTAATGTATGTTTGTGTTTCCCTTAATGGCACCACTATATTCCCAGTATCCTAGGCTCAACTCTTAGCATAGTCATTTTTGCCTTCTTTGCCTCTTAAGTTCATCTATTGTGGAACCCTATATTTTACTTCTGAAATATTTTTGATCCATCCTCCCTTGTCATTCCCTTGGCCCTATTACCTAAACTACTAGCACAGACTCTACTGCAATCCATCTTTTACATCAGAGCCAAATATTTTTTTCTAAGGCAAAGGTCACAGCCATATCACACCCATATTTAAAAACCTTCAGTGCCTTCTTGTTTTCCTCCTAAGCCAAGTATAAACTCCTCACCTTGGTTGGCAGTCAGAGTTCTACATGGAATATCTCCAAACCACCTTTCTGATCTCGATTTCAACTACTTTTCCACATCCTCTGGCCAACCCGGACTACACTGTACTCACACTACCCTAAGCGTCCCTATTTCCTGAACTTGACTCGTGTTAGAAACGCCGACTCCCTTTACTGTCTTTACCAGCCAAAGTACCACCTTTCCTTTGAGGCCTGCTTCAAATGCCAGCATGCCAGGAGGGCTCCTTTAAGCTTTCCCTACCCCCACCTCACTCCATCACTCCGTTCGATCCCCGCAAAAGCTTGTTCTGTCCGGCCTGTCAGTTATCTAACCACAGTTGTACCTAAGCATTTGCAGATTGGTCCTAGTATTCTCCAAAGATTTATACATGGTTTGAAAGCAGGGACTAGATCTCTATTCCATCTCTCTATCTCGTGCGGTGCGGATAATAAATACTCTGTACACGTGGGAATCAAGGGTAGGATGCTAGTGTGTCTTGTTCATCACTCTCTCCCCAGCACCTGGATTCAGTAACTTATGTGAATTAATAAACTAAACTGAATCTCAGGACCAGTGCCTCAAAGACAGACGCCCCGGTCTCCCCTAAAGCCGGCTCCCCGGCCCTGCGTCCACACCCACGATCCGGGTCTCCCTGAAGCTGCCCATGCAGCCCGCAGACTCCTGCACTGCTTGCTCATTCTGCTGGGCCAAGTGGAGCAGAGCGTCTTCAATCGTCTCTGTGGTGACAGCTCCAAACTTAAATTCACCCAGAGAGGCCAATCTTGGCCTCACAGGTCCGTCCATTTTCAGAAGCCTTTTTGGACACCCAGATGGCTCACTGGATCCATAAACCGATCCCCTTAGCTTCTCTCCAGAGACTTCTGCCACACTCTGGATTCGTTCTCCCCTCCTGGGTGCTTGTCCTCGCTTCGAGTCTGAGGAAAACTCAATCCCCACCACCGCCTCGGACCCTCCGCGGTCTTTTCCCGCCACAACGGCCGCGGACCACTCAGCCAATCAGAAAGCAGGGCCGTTTTCCGTCTCCTCCGCACTCCATTGGTAAAAGAAAGCGTGGACTACAGCTCCCAGCGACCCCTGCGGCGGTCAAGGACTGCTATTCCCAGCAAACGCTGCGCCCCCCGACTGCGAAGGGCGGAGCGGCATCATGGCGGCGTCGGGAGCCGGTGACCCTCTAGATGCTAAGAGTGGAAAGGCCCCTTTGGCCCAGCGCATCGACCCGACTCGGGAGAAGCTGACGCCTGCGCAGCTGCAATTAATGCGGCAGGTGCAGCTGGCCCAGTGGCAGAAGACGCTGCCACAGCGGCGGACCCGGAACATCGTGACCGGCCTGGGCATCGGGGCCCTGGTGTTAGCTATTTGTATCCGTCTGGAATGTAGACTCAGGGAGACCGCATATGGGGGCAAGAGAAGGGGAGCAAAGACGTGTAGGAGGGCAGTGTGGGGGTAGTAGAAAGAGCCTGAACTGTGAAAGTCTAACGCTGAGCCAAGCGTTTACTGTCATTTTAAGGTGCTCTTTTTAATATTAATAATAACGGAGTTGGGGGTCAGGGCTCGGAAGAGCAGGGAGATCAGCTCGCTGGTTTGGGAGGATAAGAGATTAACAAGTGTGGTGGAAGCAAGTCTAGGAAAAGGGAATGTGCATATTCCAAGTGATTTCCCTAACCCACCTCCCCAGATGGTTACACCTTCTACTCAGTGTCCCAGGAGCGTTTCCTAGATGAGCTGGAGGATGAGGCCAAAGCTGCTCGAGCCCGAGCTGCGGCAAGGGCAGCAGGACCCTGATCCAGATGGGCATTGCTCATCTCTAATCTGCTGGAGCCCCTTCACATGATGGATGATGCCCCATGACCTTGTAGAAGTGGAAGCCTGCTCACAGCATTACTGGCCACCTTACTAACCTCGGACAATGATGGAGCCCAAAAAACCAGGGATTTATGCATTTGGCCATCGTCAAGGGAACATTGCCTACCTCACACTCACTGTGTGTGGCAGCTGAGCCCTTGTAGTTTGTTTTCTTTTTTGAAAGGTATCCAACCATGGCTTTTCCCAAGCATTCTGACTTTGTGTTTTTTTCCCCTTCATTTCCCAGGGGCTTCGTGGAAGGACAAGAGGTGGACTGTTATGGGAGTGGGTGTGGCAGCTCTGTGCAGTGTTGGAGCCTATAGGAAAGATGGGGTCAGGTTGAGAATAATAAACTGAGTCATCTCTCTTGGAGTCAGATGAGTGTGTTGGGGCTGACACTTCATGCTGGAAAGCTCCACAGGCAGTAGCTGCAGCACAGTGGCATTGCCCCAGGGAGCTGTAAATGTTTAACTAGAATTACTTTTTCCGTGAGATCTTTCCACCTGATTTAAGGGAGAACTTGTGGTGGGTCACCGGGCTGTTTGAGACCGAACCACATCTTAGGGAAAGAAAGGTCACTCTCTGTCCTCTACCCTCAAGAACAACACACCAACTTTACTGCCTTTTCCCACCCCTAGAGAGAAAAGTAGATGAAGGATGAAGGACAAGCGGCTTTTTTTTTTTTTTTTTTAACTTCCATTGGGGCCTACCTGTGTAGGCCTAGGATGGAATCTAGATAGTGAGGTAGATCATTGACTTCACAGTTTCCTCATGAACTACTAGCAGGAAACCAGAAGGTTGGGCAGCTTCTACCCCAGCCTCTTATTGTGAGAGGAGAGTCCCTTCGAAGTCCTCCCCTTCTTTATCCCACAAGTTTTTGTCCCCAGTTCTTAAGGCCTGGCAGATACAAATTCAGAGTCCGAGTTTCCAGTATTTTTTATTGGCTGCTGCTAATTCTGTGTGAGAACACCCTGTCCGCTGCCCAGCTGGGATTATAACCTGTGGAAGCATCTGCGCTTGGGTGGGATTGCTTAGTGGTTGACTTGGCTGGGGAGATGGCAGGGACGAGGATGGTAGGCTGCAGAATTTGTGCCTTCTACACACAGCAAATAGTTCTCACATGCTTGGCTCTCCCCTATAATAGAACAGCACTCTCCATGCCCCTTTGTCCTTCTACTCCCTCAGTGCTGAGATCTTCCTTGCAGAGTTGTGTTGATTAGCACATTCTGAGAGCATGAGCTCCATGGTGGGTCCTGGTGTGGGGGAGACACGGGGCTTCTGTTCTGAATTCACTGGAGGGAAAAGAAAAAGCACTGAGGAAACCTCCAGTGTGGGATGAGAGTGAAGCTGCAGCCAGTAACCATTCCCTGGGCTCTCCCTCCCTTGGGCCCGCCCTCACCATCCTGCCAAAATCCCCGGCGAATGTCACCCCCTTGCTTGCCCGCTGCTCCTGGGAGCCGGTGCTGCTGCCACTCAGGGAGTTCCTTCGTATGATGCCTGGGTGCAGGATGGGGAGGGAGAGCACTAAGTGAGGGAAAGGGCCACGGGGAGAGGTGGGGTTAGTTCCCCCAAACCAAAGGCAGACCCCCTAGGCCTGGAAGAAAGCTGCATCACTAGGGAAGGGGACTCTGGAAAGACGGGAGCCTGGCAACTGCAGTCTCACCAGGGCCTGGGGGCTCGGAGCGCTGCAGGCTGTTGCGTCGGGAAGTGGGGAAGCTACCCTTGGAGAGGCGGCGCTGGCGGCTCGAGAGCATAGCAGCAGGGGCCACGATACCCGGTGGGGGCTGCTTCCCAAGCCTGCTGTACAAGTCCTCAATTTCCTTTTTCTGTAGTGTTTGTAGTGCCTCCACCTCTGACAAGTGCCTGAGGATGTACCAGGAGCATGAGAGAGCCATCTATACACTTTGCTTTCCCAAGTCCACTTCTTGTCCTCCATCCTCCCCAGACTCACTTCTGCCGAAGACTCTGCAGTTCAGCCCAGAATTCTTCATCCTCCCCACTGCTCTCTGATTCCTCACTGCTCAGACACAGGCTGCTATAGGAGTAGTTCATCCACACTGGGCTGGGATGGCTCTGGGGTGGGGAGCTGTCTCCCACTTGGGGCTCCTTCCCACTGTCCTTTTCCTCTTCAACCTCAGCCCCCAAACCCTCGGCTGCACGGTCACTCTCGGCCAGAGCCTCCCTGGCCTCTGGCCCGCCTCCAGCACTATCCTCTGTGTCTGAGCTTTCTGAGGTTAGCTGAGGGGTTGGAGGCTTCAGGGAACCAGAGAGAGTTGGGGATGTTGGTTGTGGGGAAAGAGGTTCAGCTGGTTCCTTGGATGAAGTCACTTGGAAACGCCCAACAAGCTGGGGCTTTCCCTCTGTAGAGAGACAAGGAAGGAGTCATGGAAGGAGGGAGAGAAATCAATGGCAGTATACAAAGTGGATTGAGGATAACAGACAGGGGAAGGTCAGTGGTCAGTGTCCTCACCTTCAGAGATGGGCGCCAGTCTGGCTTCACCCATGAGTGGCCGAGCAGGATTTGGGGAGGCCTACAAAGCATGGGTCCATGAGGAGAGAAATTATCCAGAAAGGAGTCCCCTTAATCATCCCTCTTGGTTTCCTACTCACCTCACTCTCCAACTCAGCTGTTAAAGGTGAAGGCCTCTCCTGGCCACAAGGAGCAAGGGGAGGAGGAAGGGGCAGGCTTGGACAGGGACCAGGAGAGGCTGGAGGAGACTGGGAAAGGAGCCCAGGTGAGGGAGACAGCAAGGACTGGGCCACAGTCATGACAGCCAGTGAGAAGGCACTAGCCAGAGAGAGGAGAGGGGCTGCTGTGGTAGAGGGGAGGGGAGAAGAGGAGGAGCACGGAGGAAAGGAATGAGGTATGAGAGTGACCTGGGAACAGCTGGGGGAGACGGTGGGTGAACTGGGGAGAGAACTCTGCAGAAACTGAGAGGATGTGACTGGAAACTGGGATGTACTTGGGGAGAAGGGAAGTGGAGAGCTGGGAGGGTGTGGAGAGAGATTTGAGAGTTGGGAAGAAATTGGAGAAAGTGGGGAGGGGCCAGGCTGATATGGGGGAGAAGTGATGGGAAAGATGGGACTTGGGAAAACAGGGGTTCCAGGAGAAAATGGGTTTCCAGGAGACAAGGGGGTTCCAGAAGATGGGAAGGTGGAGAAGGCTGCCCAACTGCTCTGCTCCAGGGAGGTAGTGCTCTGGAGCTCTGCTGGGGAGGAGGTGTGTTGAGATTCCAATCCTCCATCCCCTGAGCCTTTCCCAGGAGCAACCCAAGGGTTTGGGGGAGTAGGGACAGAACTCAGTACATACCACTGGATGGGTTGGAGAGGGGGCCTGGGAGGACAGGCAATGGTACTGGCTCCTCCTGAGGGAGAGAAGGGGGCCCACAGTCACAATGGGGAAGAGCCTCGTCTTAGATGGAAGGTTTCAGACTGGGGTTCTTAAACTAGGACTCGTGGACCTCTAGGAGTCCACGAGTGAATTTCAGGAATTCAAACATGTATTTGCTGAAATATTTAGAGGTAAATGACATGATGTCTGCAACTTAAGTGATTCAGAAAAAATATGTGCACACACATATAGAGGAAAAGAGAAAGAAAAGGCGAATATGGCAAAAACAATAGGCAAATCTAGGCTAAGAGTATCTAGGAGTTCTTTGTACACTTTTTGAAACTTCTTTCTGTAAGTCTGAAATTATTTCAAATAATGAGTTAAAAGTATGCATTGAACACATTTTTCTAGAATAAGGGTCCATGGCTTTCATCAGAGGCGAAGAGCCACTATTTTAGATTTCCAGAGATGAAGAGGATTAGATCCTCTTCAAGGTGACTAGTGAGGCAGAAAGTAATGAAGCCTGGAGCAGAGTCCATTTCCCCCTGGAGGTGCCCAAGGGGCCTGACCTGAGGGCCCAAGGGGTCTTCAGCAGCCTCCACAGGGCCAGTATCTCTCTTCAACAGGGTCTCCACTCGCTGGATAATCTCCCGAATCCGGCTTAAGAATCCAGCTCGCTCCGAAGGCAGAATGAACTCATTATACACCTGGCAAAGGTCAACAGGAAGGGGAGGGAGGGTTCAGTTATCCCACTGATCTCTCTCTTTTTCTGCACTGATCTTTAAAATCTCTTCTGCCAAATATATATATATATATATATAAATTTTTTTCAATCCTCATCCAAGGATATTTTTCTTTTTTTTTTAGTAATCCTCACCCAAGGATATTTTTCCATTTATCTTCAGATAGAGTGGGAGGGAAGGAGAGAGAGAGTGAGAGAGAGAGAAATAAACATCGATGTGAGAGGGACACATCTACTGGTTGCCTCCTGCACAACTCCAACCAGGGCCGGGAACAAACTGCAATCGAGGTACGTGCCCTTGACCGGAATCGAACCGCTACTCATTGGTCTGCAGGGTGATGCTCTAACCACTGAGCAAACCAGCCAGGGCCAGAGGATATTTTTCCATTGCTTTTTAGAGAGAGTAGAAGGGAGGGAGGGAGAGCGAGAAAGAGAGAGAAACATCGATGTGAGAGAGACACATTGATTGTTTGCCTCCTGCACGACCCCAACAGGGGCCAGGGATGCAACCTACAACACAGGTACATATCCTTGACTGGGAATCGAACCTGCCACCTTTCAGTCTGAGGACCGACACTCTAACCGCTGAGCCAAACTGGCCAGGGTTAAAACTGGTATTTAATAAATATCTACAGTGTGTCAAGCACTATGTGGTATTAGCTACTTTTTTCTAAGCTGTAGCTAACATTCATAGGATGCATGTATACACAAGAGGCTTTACATATCTTTTTTTTTTTCAGGGGAGAGCAAAACGCAGTCCCCTACTACTACAAATTATGCAGTTGAGTTTCCCACATTTGGGGAAATCACAGGGGTCAGCACATCCAGAGTGCAATGGATAAGAGGCTTTACACATCATATCACATTAAACACCAACAGCAGCTTTCTGGCCACTTTATTATCACCCCCGTTATAGAGTTAAGATAATCGGTGCTCAAAGAGATTAAGTTCAATCTGCCCAAGATCACAGGATTTGCACCCAGATCTGTCTAAAGCCAAAGCCTGAGTTCTTTCCACTGTTGCCTTGCATGCTTTTGGACACAACTCCTGCTCTCATGGGGCTTATAAAGTATACCACACAGGTGTGCAGACACACATACACACTTAATAAAAATAAGGCAGTAAATGGTAAATATTACGTTCAATTCCACAAACACTAATTGAGTACATACTATGTGTCAGGCATTGTACTAGGTACTTTGAGAAATACAGGGGAGCATAAAACAAGGTCCTGGTCCTGAAGAAGCCCAAGATCTATTGAAAGATACACACACACACACACACACACACACACACACACAGAACTCAATACATTACAAGTCAGCCCATGGTAGGTAAGGCATTTATAACTGAAGGATAGATAAAAATGCTATTCCAGGTGGGGGAAAGAGAGAGTTGTTTTTTGTTTGTTTGTTTGTTGTTGTTTTTATCCTCACCCGAGAACATTTTTTCATTTTTTGTTCAGATAGAGTAGGAGAGAGAGAGAGAAACATCGACGTGAAAGGGTCACATTGAGTGGCTGCTACCCAGACGACCAACCAGGGCCGGGGATAAACTGCAACCGAGGTACATGCCCTTAGTGGAAACCAAACCCGGGTCTCTCTGGACTGCAGGCCGATGCTCCAACCGCTGAGCCAAACCAGCCAGGGTGGGAGAGTTGTTTAATGGGTATAAAGATTCATATTTGCAAGATGAGAAAGTTCTGGAGATCTGCTTCTCAACAGTGTGAATATACTTAATGCTCATGAACTGTGTACTTAAAAAGGGTTAAGAGGGTGCCCTGGCCAGTTTTCTCAGTGGTTAGAACATTAGTCCACGGACCGGAGTCCCAGGTTCAGTTCCCACTAAGGGCACGTACCTCGGTTGCAGTTTGTCCCCAACCCCAGTTGGGATCTTGTGGGTGGCAACCACTCAATGTGTCTCTTTCACATCAATGTTTCTCTCTCTCTTCCTCCCTCTCTCCCTCCCACTCTATCTGAAGATAAATGCAAAAATGTCCTCGGGTGAGGATAAAAAGAAAAGGGTTAAGAGGGCAAATTTTATGTTATGTGTTTTTTAACCACAATTTTAAAAAATGCTATTGCAAGGACAAAGCAGGTTATACTATCCAGGAATGGGGGTGAGGGGAACTGGAGAATCTGGGATGCCATCACAGAGCTGCATTTCGAAGGATGAGTAAGAAAAACAACCCTTTATTGGGGACCTACCATGTGTGGACACTTCTCATACATTATATCATGTTATATCCTTTTCTTCCTCATATGTATTATATCACATCTCATGAATTATATCAGAACATCTTTGCAAAGTAGGTATTAATACCTACATTTTATTTATGAGCAACTGATGTTCAAAGAGGTTACGAAACATGCCCAAGTTCACGGAATTAGTAAATAAGAGAGCTGAAATTTGAACTCAGGTCTTATGTGAAAGCCCGCCCTTTCCTCTGTTCCATGCTTTTCAACAGAAAGACAGGGGCAATGCAGGCAGAGAGAACAGCATGAGTAATAGTTCTGAGGCATGAAAAGGCAAAACACATTCACAAAATAATGGAGACAATATAGCTGAAAGTGTTGTGAATTTTAAAGACCATGTTCCAGAATTTGGACCTTACTTTGTAACCACAAATAGCCACTAAAGATTTTGGGACAAAAGCAAGGTCAAATTTAACTCTCAGGAGAATTCTGCTGCAGGGAAGTAGAGGGTGGGCTGGTAAGGAGAGAAAAGAGGGCAATGGATCCTAGGTTCAGGAATCGGGGGCTCTGTGGCAGTGTGAGATCTGAGTGGGCTTAAAAGCCCAGGACAGAAGTTTCTCAGGCAAGAGATGAGAGACCCCGAGTCTGCAGTTGGAGGCAGAAGCAGTAAAGTATCCAGCCTCTTCGGAGGACCATTTAGAAACCAGGGTGACTGGAAGAAAGATTCTGGAAGGGACAAGTAGCTTGATTGGAGGTGATAAACTTATGTGCCAAGTGATATTTTGTTTGTATCCTGGACACAAAGTGAATGACATGATAGAGGAGAAGCTTTTCAGGAGAGAGTGCTTGAAGCCTGATGTTTCTCCCATTCCCTTTCCTCCCTCACCCCAGAGGCTGACACCCACCACCCTCACTCCACTGAAACTGGTCTCCCACAGACCTTCTCCTGACAAATGCCAGTATGATCTTGCCTTAGGCTTCCCCCTTTAGGCCACCTCCTTAAAACTCTCCTTGCTCAGTTTTTACTAACATCTTTCAGGGCTCCTCCAACTTCTCAGGCTCAATCTCTGTGTCCTTTGATGACCTATCTTCCCTCCCATTCTGGAACTGGAGTTGTCCACTGAGACACACTCTCAGGCCTTCTATGCCTCTGGTTTTTCAGGCCCAACTCCCTTCACTTTCCAATCTATAATGACAACTAAATCCACCTCTCTCTCTAGCCCTGCCTGACCCATATCCCGTTTCTATGGAGAATCTTATCTTGCCTGTCTGTCATTCAAACTCATCATGACCTCTAAGAAAGCTCAATTTCATTTCCAACTTCCCCTCTCCTTTGATGATCTACTTCCAATAGTTTCTTCAAGCTACAAGTCACCCTTGATATCCCTTCTCCCGAACACCCTATTATATCAACTCAGCAAATATTTATTGAGCGTCTGCTATGTGTATTGTACTATGTCAATAAATTACTGTATTACAGAGTAATTTATTGTCCTGAAACCCCCTCCTCCCTCCCATATAATCTGTTCTTTCTGATCTACACCTGGCTTCTTGTACCCACCTGCCAACTGGATTCCCTACCCCTAACCCGCTCCCATATCCCATGGCAGACTGATCTTTTATTGTTAATCCTCACCCAAAGATATTTTTTCCATTGATTTTTTTTTTTAGAGAAAGTGGAAGGGAAGCAGGGAGAGAGAGAGAGAGACAGAGAGAGAGAGAGGTGAGATGTGAGAGAGACACATTGATGGGTTGCCGCCCACATGCACCCTGGGGCCAGGGATTGAACCTGCAACCCAGGTATGTGCCCTTGATCAAAATCAAACCCAAGACCCTTCAGATTGCAGGCTGATGCTCTAACCACTGAGTCACACCAGCCAGGGCCAGACTGGTCTTCTTAAAACCTATTCTCACCATGTTACTCTTTGCCTAAATCTTAAGACCATCTATATTCCAGGCCCTCTCCACATGCCCAACCTTGCTTTCAGAGGGCTCCTATTGGAATCCTTAATTCTAACGGTCTCCTCTGGAAGCCCTCCCAATACCATATTCCAAGTCACTATCTGCTTCTATGCCTTTGCTTGTTTTCCCCCACGAGACATGCCCTTTCCACCCTTCACTGCCATTCTTACCCATCTGTCAGAACTCCTGCCCCTGGCCCATCCTTGTACTTACTGCCACAGTATCACGTGTCTAGCATGTACTTCACTGTAGCTCTTGTGTATACTCTATGTTAGTTTCAAATCGCTCCAGCTGAAGATCCAAACCTCACTGGATAAACAAATCTCCCGCAAAACAAGGGCAAAGATGTTTTCAGTGACACTGTGCTAAGTGCCAACAAGTGCTTTAAAAACCCTTGCTGGCCCAGCCAATGTGGCTCAGTGTGGCTCAGTGGTTGAGCCTCGACCCATGCATCAAGAAGTCCCCAATTCGATTCCTGGTCAGGGCACATGCCCAGATTGTGGGCCAAATGCCCAGTGGGGGGCATGCAGGATGCGGCCAGTTGATGTTCTCTCTTATCGACGTTTCTGTCTTTCTCTCCCTCTCCCTTCCTCTCTCTAAAAAATCAATAAAGAAAAACTATTAAAAAAAGACCCTTGCTGCTGGATAAGAGGATGGGGAGTCTGGCACCAGGGAATATCAGGAGGGAGACTCTTGTCCCAGATCCAAAGACTCAGTCCTCATCTTTCTCCCCCTCACCATGGCAGCTGCAATTTCTTCTGGGCTGTCCCCATCCAGATCAAATCGGAAGGTCACCATCTTGCTGTTGTGCGTCTGGAGCTGGCACTCAACCACTCTGTCATTCTGATCTGAGACCTTCAGATTGAAATTCAGCAGAAGGGAGGAGGTCAAGCCCTCTGTCCTCATCATATGTCCCCACCCCACCCCAATCAAGTGATGTGACTGATTGGAATTGAAGAGAAGTAGACCCTGCTCCCAAAGTCTAGTATTAGAAACTGGCTGCCACTTAGATGCCAGTCACACATTGCTACTCCCCTTTTCTGGCTGACCTCCCCCATCCTCCTGACAGTTCCCTCCTGGCCCTGAAGGTTGTTCCCCATCTCCCATGCCTTCCTTACACTAGTGACCCGAAGCCGGGATCTGGGTCTGCGCCGGAGATTTCTCCCAAGGGGTCTTCTGATGCGTCCCATCCCTTCACCCACATCACTAAGGCTGGATGCTGCATCTGAGGCGTAGCTACAAAAAGGAAAGGAGATAGAAGGAATGTCAGAGTGGACACTGGGACCCCAGAGCTCCATATGTCTCACCCTAGCACCCCAACTCATACCAGAACTTACCTGTCTCCAGGGGAAAAGTCACTGCCAGGCCCAGAACGTGGAATAGACAGAGCAAAAGCCTGAAATGGGATATGGGTTCTTGAGATCAGAGAAAGATCATTATTGGGATCCAAGGAGATGGTTTCAAGGAGGCTGAGGTACTAGGGATATGGAATTAAGGAAGATGAAGACAAGAGTAGTGGATTTCCAGGGACATGGGGCCTGGTCATGGAGTTGGATTTCACAAGGAGGGAAATAGATCATAGGCTTGGAATAGCTGGGAGCCCCCCAGGTGACCCCCTCTCACCGAGGGCAGGCAGAGATGGGACTCAGCGGGGCTGGATGGCACCCCTCTAGGGGGCTGAAGGGCAGGGTCTGAGGCATCCAGGAAGCCGGAGGAGCTGAGGTAGCCATCAGTCTCGCAATCCGCTGGTGGGGGAGGGAATCAAAAAAGGGGAAATAAAGGAGAGTGGTGGCAGAGGAGGGAGCTTGCCTGCACAAGGAGGGGCCTGGAGCTGTCCAGGAGGAGCTCTATGGCTAGATGTGGTCAGTGACAGTGTTGCTGGGTTGAACTTCTGGGTAGGGGGCAGAGGAAGGGTTCTGGGACCTAGGTCCTAAGATCAGAGGTGACTTACAGGTGGTAGATGAGTAGCTGGCATGGCGGAAGAGGAACGGCTGGTGCTGGTCTGCCTCTGGCTCCTCAGGCTCCGGGGGGAAGGAACTGGGGAGACCAGGAGTCGTGGGGACATTTGCTGGTGGGGGTTCTGGCTCAGGGGGGAGGGCCTCCAACTCCCTAGCTTTGCGCAGCTTCTCACGCTTTCGTTGGATAGCAGCCACCCGTTCACGTACTGCACGGGCCACTGGCTGGTAATCAGCTTCGCAGACCAAGCCCAGGGCCACCTGGAGTAGGAAGGGTGAGGAACACAGGTTGAGAACCCCATCTAAGACTCATCAAAACACTTTCTTGGGACCTCCAGGATATAGGAGGAAGGGCACCAACACTTATTGGTTACCTACTATACCTATTAACTGACAACTTCTTACATTATCATCATTAAATCCTCACAACATCCTCCTGAGGTAGGTCTTATCAACTGCATTTTAGAAATAAGTGATCAGTTCATGGTTATACAGTAAGTTAGTTAATCAGTTGCTCTCACTTGAGGGAGGAGGTTGGAACATTTGGCAGTATTTGGAAAATTTTTAGTTGTCACACTTGGTGGGGAAGGGGGTTGGTGCTACTGGCATCTAGTAAGTAGAAGCCAGGGATTATTCTCAACATTCTACAATGCACAGGACAGTCCCCAAAACAAAGATGTCAGTAGTGTCAAGGTCAAGAACCCCTACATGTAATGGGTCAGAATTTGATCTCAGGGCAGTGCTACATTTCAAACATTTTCTTGGGTTCTTGACCCAGACCCACATAGATGATCCTCATCTTTTTTCAACTTTCATTTTTCTATTGAGATTCTTATACTCTCTCCCTTCCCCCTCAGGCCTTCCTAAACCAAACCTCCGATCTTCTTTCCCCACATCTTTTATCTCCCATATATATCTCTCCTGGTCCCCCGGTTTCTGTTCATCATCTCTTTATTCATTTCAACAAGCTTTGCTGGGCACATAAAGGAGGTAGGGCTTAACAACCAGGGTTTAGATAGTTCTGCCACTTATTTGCTTGTCACCTTGAATAAGATATTCAACCTCTCTGAGCTTTCAATTCCTCATCAATAAATCAGGATAAAAATCATTCCATGCAGGGGTGGTAACAATGATCAAATGCATGTGAAAGTGCTCTAAGCCATGTACACATGTGGGCTATTAATGAGCTCCTACCATGTGTCAAGCACTGTCAGGGATAGAAAAATCAATAAAACAGTCTCGGCTCTCAAGGAGTTTATAATCTAGTAGAGTAGAAAGACAGAACTGTATCCTGGTGGAAAACAAGACTGATGGTGGTGGACCCTGTAACTGAGGACCTGTTGATGTAAAAAGCAGCATTTACTTTTGACACTAGAGGGATAGACTTCCTGAAACTGACCATTCTGAGCATGGAGGAAGAAAAAAAAAAAGTAAATAAATAAATAAACAAAAAGAGAGAGATGTGTATATGTGTGTGGGGGGGATACAAAAAAATAATAATAATAAATAGGTCAATAAATCAGAGAGAAAGGCATTCCAGAAACATCAGATTAGTAGGAAGTAAAGCAGGGAAATTGGAGGACCTAAGATCTGTTCTGGAAAAGAAAATCATCAACCTATTAAACACAGGGTGTGTACACTGGTGTGTTAAGAAGGAAGGCGCAGGGGGACACTGGCAGGAGATGCTGAGAAGAGTGGGTTGGGCCCCTCTCCCACCACCCCAGTGTCCCCCGCATGCCCACTGCAGGGCAGTCGTCCTCCACTCACCATCTCCTGAGCCACCTCCTCAGCAGCATCTCGACCCAGCTGGAATAGGAACTCAATGGCCTGGTTGTCCCGTGGGCGTCCTCCTCTGCGAGCATCCTCCATGCGTAGCCAGAGTTTGAGGTCAGGCTTCTCGCCGTCATCCTCTTCTGCTAGTTCCACATGCACGCCACGCTCCTCTCGGAAGAAGGCGTGAGCCAGAAGGTCCTGGATGGTGAACCTGACAGGGCAGCAAAGCTGTGAGGGGAGCCCTCAGAGCCGCCAGCTTTTGCAACCCACCCCAATCTCACTCCCTCCACCCCACCTCTCATTCTTATCGGTGCGGATGCAGCCTTCAATGATCTCCTTCACCTCCGGCATCTTCACTTTGTGGAAGCTGTTCGGCTTTGTGCCCTGAAGAAGGGGTTACATTAGCCTCAGGCTCTCTGTGCCCCAGTTCTTGGCTTGACAGGCACCCCCCAACCCCCCGCCATCCCCACAAACCCGAGTCATCAACACTTGCAGTTGCAAGAAGTACCACAACTGCTACTGGGAGATGTGATTTCAAATCCCAATCCCCCCACGTATGGACAGTGTGATCTTAAACAAGTCTGCCTCTAAGCCAGTTTTTTCATTTGTAAAATGCTGGGCAAACGCGGGACACCTGGAAGTGGAACCATTTGTTAAACTCTAGGGAGTGCTACACACACACCATCATTATTTTTTTTTAATCCTCACCTGAGGATATTTTTCTATTTATCTTCAGACAGTGGAAGGGAGGGAGGGGGAGAGCAAGAGAGAGAGAAAGGGAGGGAGAGAGAGAGAAACATCCACATGAAAGGGAGACATCGACTGGTCACCTCCCTCCCTCAACCAGGGCCAGGGACTAACCACAACCGAGGTACTTGCCCTTGACCAGAATCGAACCCGGGACTCATTGGTCTGCAGGTCCACACTCTACCACTGAGCCAAACTGGCCAGGGCCACACCATTATTCTAAATAGCTTGTACTGGAGGGGGACATGTGTGCATACACTATCCTTCGGTGTAAACCAGGGCATCTTTGCATCTGGCCTGTTTTCATTTAGGGAAAAGGGCATTGACCATGGGCTGGTTGAGACAAAAATGGAAGGAGACCTGGAATTCCCTCTCCTCCCTGCCTTCTCTCACCGAGGTGACCTTGCGGTAGATTTGTGCTGCATTCTGGCACTCGGAGTAGGGATACTCGGAGGTAGCCATCTCCAGCATGCACATGCCAAATGCGTACACGTCCACGGCTTCATCGTACTTTTCCTCATACATCTCTGGGGCCATGAACTCCGGGGTCCCTGTAGGATTCACAGCAGACATTAGGCTGCAGAGCCTTCCTTCTGGCGGTGTACATAGGTTAGGCGGCCCTCCAGTTCTGGAGTGCAAGTGGCCAACCCTTCCCCACTGCAGTAGAGGGGAGGGGATGCCACAGTTCTCCCCATTTTTCCCATGTTAACTCCGTGGAACTCGAAGGACCCTGCTGGAGGAAAGGGGGACCACAGGCTCTCTTCTGATGTGGGGGAGGTAGGAATGGCAAGGACCCTCCTGGAGGGACGCACCGATGACACTCTTGGCAAAGGAGGCACGCTTAAGCGTGGCCAGGCCCAGGTCCCCGATCTTGACGGAGCCCGTAGGGCCGGTGATAAAGACGTTGTCGCACTTGAGATCTCGGTGCAGGATAGGGGGTACCCGGGAGTGCAGGAAATGAAGCCCCCGTAGGATTTGACGGCTCCAGCGCTGAAGGACTCGGGGCTTCATCTCTCGGAACCGCCTCAGGTATCTGGGGAGGGCACAGAGCCAGGGTTGTGGTTGGGGAGGGAGCCCTCACTGGGAAGACTTCCCCAGCTCCACCCTCAGCACTGCCTATGCATCTTCTGCAGCATTCTCCTAGCCTAGGTCTGCGGGGGATCCAGGGAGAAACTGAGTCATGGTGTGTGGTAGGTAGACATGAAGTTGTAGGGCTGAGGCCAAGGTGCTGTGAAAGCACCGGAGGGATGACTCACTTCCCCGGCATGGGGGAGGGCTCCACAGAGGAAATAACTGTGTTGCATCCTGAAGGATGAGCAGGAGTTCAAGGGTGAAAAGGGGAAGGGATGGAGACTTTCCAGGCAGAGGGGACACTGTGCTCAAAGGCATGGAAACAGCAAGCCACAGAGCAGGGTGGGAGGAGGTGCTGGGAATTTGGTTTGTCTGGAAGTTAGGCTTAAGATGAGGCTGGATCCTAAGGACTGTGAGCCCGTTAGGAAGTGTGGACTTTATCCTGAGAGCCATGGGAGACCTTGAAGGGTTTTTAAGAATGGCAGTGACAAGGTCAGGTTTGCAGTGGGGAGAGAGAACTTAGACTGCAGGAAGATAGGATCGCTTGGAGAGGAGAGGGGCACAGAGGGAAGGCCCTTTGAGGGGACTGCAGGTCTCCAGACCAGTGAGGTAGGTGGCAGTGAGGTGGGGGTGTAGATGGCGCAGTGAAGGCAGAGTGGGGAGATCCGAGGAAGGACTCAAAGACAGACTGATGGGGGAAAGGGATGCACAGAGTGGACTGAGAGGAGGCATCTGGGGAAACACCCACATTTTGGCTGTAGTTCTGTGTGGACTTTGCCATTCACCAAGGCAGGGACACAGGAGGGGTGGGTGAGAGATAGTGAGCCTCGCGCTGGACCTGGATATAGAGTTTGAGGAGCTGGAGAGAAGTTGCAGAAGCAATGGGACCTCCCACCACCAGCCCTCCCCTCAACCACCACCAGGCAGAAGAGCTCACGTCTTGAGCGTGCCGGAGGTCATGAGTTCAGTGACCAGCACGATGCAAACCTGGCCCCTCAGCACTGACTTCCACGAGTCATAGAAGCGGACGATGTTGGGGTGCTGTAGCCCCTTGAGCATCTCCACCTCCTCTGAGAATCGTTGCCGCTCGGCTCGAGACAGTTTCCGAGTCTGTGGGATAGGGGATGGGGGTCAAGGTCAAATCTGGCCCAGAACCCCTCCACCCAGAGGCGGTGGGGTGGGGCACAGCGGGCGGAGCTGGGAGAAGAGGGGAAGGGGGAAGGGTGAAGCTGTGAGATGAAGCTGGGTCGGTGGGATCACTGTCATAATCGGCTGTAGACCCCGAATTCCAGGTCCGCTCCCTCAAGCTGCTCCATGGACACGCCCATCCTGGGCCTGGGGCCGCCCCCTAGACCCCCTGCTGGACACAAGCGACTTTATGAAGTCCGGACCTGGAGCCCTGAGCTCAATAGCGCCTTTGTGGCCGCCTGGGCAGGCCGTGGGGCGGGAGGGGGGCGCCCGGGGGCTGGCAGCGGGCTGGCAGCAGGCAGTCAGACAGCGGGCAGAGAATTGGGGCTGGCAAGGGGATTAGCTCCAGAAATTGAGAACTTCTTAGAACCAGACAGGAGGTGAGAGGGCTACAGAAGGAGGTTCAGTGAAAGAAAGTAAGGATCAAGGACCAGGTTCCAGAAGTCTGCCCCCTGTACCACGGCTGTCACGCCCCTGTCTCGTCTCCCTCCCTCACCCCCACCCCTACCCCCACCCCTACCCCCACCCCAGTTTGGCCACCTCTCCCAGCCTGGCCTAGAGCCTGGGGTGCGGTACTGGCAGGAGCAAGGAGCAAGCACAGTGCCAGGGCTCTGGGAGGACCCTTCCCCCAGGCTCTGTCCTCCGTCTGAATCTGAAGCTGCTAGCCCTAAGTGAAAGCCCAAGGGGCTCAGCGCCTCTGGGTTTGGGAAGAGAGAGCCTAGGTAGGCAGTGGGATGAGGAGCAGAACTAGATTTGGGCCAGGGCTGTATGTAGCTCCTTGTTTCTCCCTCGCCCAACTAAGAAGTCCAGAAGTCTGACTGCTCCAGAAGGGGCCTGGGAGGGCCCCATCCTTCCACAACAGCTGAAATCTTCTGGAAGTGAAGAGGACCCTGCCCCAACTCCTGGCCTCCATCATCCCAGCCTCCTGTAAAGATCCAGCTTGAGGGAACAGGAGGACGAGGGTCATGCTGAGGGTCTCAGGACTTAGGGGAAGGGAAGTGGTGAGGTGAGCCACCTTCTCATGCCTGAACTGGCTCACTACCCAATTTCCCTCCTTCTTTCCTCCTCTCAGAGTTGAGTATGGGGACTTTAAAGTGAGAATGTCCAAACCCACAAGGGAGCCACCATACACCACCTGCCTCAGTTTCTCTTTCTGCAGCCCAGAATCAGCCAGATCCATGGATCATCAGAGCAAGTGGGACAGGAGTGTCTGGACATTTGACTAGAAAAATATATCCCTCCCTTGTTGCTGTCCCATGAGTCTCCCATCCCAAGACCTCCAAAGGGTCCCATCCCGAGATGCCACCGAGGGGGCACCCAGCCGCACCTGCAGCTCACACCAGGCCACCTCCACCGTGGTGTCGGTGTCTAGTCCTCGATACACCGTCTTGAATGAGCCACGTCCAATCTCAATGTCAAATTTGAGGTATCGGCCGTCTGGGGAGGTTGCCACGGCCTGGGTCTCAGTGTCCTCCTTTTCCTCCTGCTCCCGCCGCCGCTCCTGGGCTGCGGCTTCGGGGACCCTCGGCTGTTCCCGGGATCCCGGACCTCCTGAAGAGCACGCGAGTTCTGGAAGCGCAGAGTCTGCAGCCTTCACCGGGGCTCCCCCGGTCCACGTGCCCTCGGGGGGCTCTTCGGAGCTGGGCGGTGGGCTCCTGGGGGGATCGGGACCAGCAGAGTCCGGAGGATTGGGGGGCTCCGGAACTGGTGAGGTTGGCTGAGACCAAGAGCTCAGCAGCCCCAAATCGACGGAGCTTCGGCGGCTGAGACGGGAAGAACGCGGCCGGGGTTCAGTTTTCCCGGAGAAGCGGCGCGCACGGCGAGGAAGGGGCCCGAGGCGGGGCGGCCCTGTGGCAGCGAGAGGGGGCGGGGGCCGCAGGGCCAGGTCGGCCTCCGCCTGGGACATGGGCACCGCGGTCTCTGGGGCCGGGGGTGCCAGCATGAAGTCGGACCGGCGCCGCAGGGCGGTAAGGCGGGCTGCCGGAGAGGAGGAGGCCTGACAGACGTACTGGCTGGGTGCGCAGCACTCCGGCAGAGCTACTGGGGCCCGAGCCCCCAGCTCGCCCGCCGAGCCCCGCCCCCAGCCCCGCCCCCACCCCCCAGGGCTGACCCCCCCCCCCCAGCGGCGGGCGGTGTGGATTCTGGTGCACAGCCCTTCACCTCAGCCGTCGCCCCGCCCTCGGCCGATACCCCTCTCCTTCCCGCCTCCCTGTGCACCCGCCTTCAGGCCCATTCCGAAGAGCCGGGTGCGAGGTCGGGGTGTCCTCCCTCACTAAGAGTGCGCAAACCTGTTGCGGGGGTGGGGCACGACGCTCGCTAGGGAGAGGAAATGTGACCTCGGCTCCGGGCCTTAGAAAGGGGAGTAGCTAGGGGACAGCTACCACACTCCTGCACGCCCCAGATAAGATAGCGCCACCCCTCCTAGTCGTCCAGAGTAGCACCAGGCTGACAATACAGAGGTCAATGGAAAGATCTGGTTTTCTCTAACGCCACCATTCCCTCCCGGCGGCACAGGGATGGGTGTGTGCACCCCAGGACAAGCCCCACCCCCCAAACCAAGGACCCAGTCACCCATCCCTTCCACCTCCCTACCTTGACCGCAGCTTGGCCCTGATTAGAGTGGCTGTTTCTGCTATGTGGGCTCTTCTTCCTCCCCCTTCTATTTGCCAGTTTCCAATAAACCAAAGTCCGTGTCCGGTTTACTCCCCCTCAGCTCTCCTTGGCCTCAACTACCTCACCTAGACCAGATGGATGGAGGGAGGGGCTTCAGAGTACTTCAGGACTTTCAATGGGGGAGGTGAGGGAAGGGGGAGCCATTAAGTTACTCCAGTTCAGACACAGAAAGCAGTCTGTCCCCAAGCTGTGTTCCATCAGCACTCCCCCACACAGCCCACCCAGCAGATGTAAAACCACAGGCTCCCTGGAGCCCGCCAGCACTGGAGGACCGTTTCATTTACAAAGGCCATGGACCTTCTCTCCCCTCCTCTAAGCTGGGATTTGCTTAGGGGGTGGGGGTGGGGGGTAACCCTTCACAGCCCTCTCATGTCCATTTAGTAACATCAGACGCAGGCAGTGGGGTTGAGCTTTTTATTATTATAAATCACTGTCCAGCCCAGCCTCTCACTGCTGGGCCCCTTCTTCGGCCTCCTGTCTTCGTATTGCCTAGAAGGCTGCCTGCAGCCAGGGCTTCCATATCCCCTAGGAAGGATCCAGCACCAGCCTGAGAGGGGAGGCAACAGCAGCTACAGGGGTGGGAGGGGGAGAGACAGAAGCTTGTACAGGTGTGTGTGTGTGTGTGTGTGTGTGTGTGTGTGTAGTTACATATGTCAACACATGTAAAGTGCAGGGTTTACAGACTCTGGCTCAGGGACAATCTAGGACAGAAGAGGAGGTGGGGCAAGGAGAAGCACATCTCTTCTCTGTGGCACCTCAGCCTCACCCTCTCCCAGGGACACACAAATGGGGTAAGTGGGAAACCCATCCCTGGACTGAAGCCCTTTGGAGTCTGGTGGAGTCACAGATCCAGTCTGTGGGGACACTGGGTCTGTCTCCTTTTGAAAGCCCTGGAAGGGTGGGAGGTAAGGCATAAAGGGAGGCAGGTCTTGCTAGAAGAACTTGACACCTCGGCCATCACTGATGGTGATGATCTCCGCTTTGTGGTCCTGCTGGAGGGCCTGCAGAGCCCGAAGTAGGGTTGCCTCATCCAGCCCATGGAACTCTGGACAGAGAAATAGGGGAAGTCAGGGACATTCAGCTCCTTGGGGCTCAAGGCCTCTGAGGAGAGCAGTCTAGCTGGAAGCTATAACCTTATGAGGCCAGGATATACATGTACCATCTACAGTGCTGCCACTACCACCCATCCTTCCCTTGCACCAAAGGGTCATGGGTTCAATTCCTGGTCACAGGCACATACCTGGGTTGCAGGTTTGATCCCCAGCCCTGGTTGGGGTATGTGTGGGAGGCAACCAATCAATGTGTCTCTCTCACATCAATGTTTCTTTCCCTCTCTCCCTCCCTTCCATCCTCTCTAAAAATCAATGGAAAAAAGTATTCTCAAGTGAAGATTAACCAAAAAAAAAAGTAAGGATTGAGGATTGGAGTGCCCTGGCTTCATAGCTCGGTTAGAGTGTCGTCCTGATATGCCAAGGTTTTGGGTTCAATCTCCGGTCGGGCACAAACAAGAAGCAACCAATGAACGCATAAATAAGTGAAACAACAAATCAATGTTTCTCTCTCCCCCCCCCCCTTACTCTCTCTCAAAATTAAAAAAAAAAATTAGGCCTGGCTGATTTGGCTCAGTGGTTAGAACATTGGCCTGCAGTCCGGAGAGACCTGGGTTTGGTTCCCGCTAAGGGCATGTACCTCGCTTGCAGCTTGTCCCTTGCCCTGGTTGGGTTGTGCAGGTGGCAGCCACTCGATGTGTCCCTTTCACGTCGATGTTTCTCTCTCTCTTTCCCTCTCTCTCCCTCCCACTCTATCTGAACAAAACATGGAAAAATGTCCTTGGGTGAGGATAAAAAAAAAAAATTAGCATGGCTGGTGTGGCTCAGTGGTTGGGCAACGACCCCTGCACCAAGAGGTCCCAGTTTGATTCTCGGTCAGGGCACATACTCAGGTTGTAGACCAGATCCCCAGTGAGGGGAATGCAGGAGGTGGCCAATCAATGTTCTCTCTCATCAATATTGCTATCTCTCTTTCTCCCTCTCCCTTCCTCTCTCTCTAAAATCAATAAAGAAAAAATTTTTTTTTAAATTAGAGGGACCTAGAAAGTATTATGATGCTAAGTAAAATAAGACAATCAGAGAAAGACAAACACCACATGATCTCACTTATTTGTGGAATATAAGAAACAAAATAAGCTGATGAAAAAAACAGACCCAGAGACATAGAAAGGAGTATGGTTCAGACTGACAAACCTCAGAAGAGTGGGACAGGGGGAGGGATGAGATAAACCAAAGAACTTATATGCATGTATGAGTAACCAATGGACATAGACAACAATGCTTGGCAGGGGGGGATCGGGAGGAGGGTGTCTGGGGGTGGGAGGGAGAAACATCCGTAACAAAAATTAATTAATTAGTAAAAAAATTAAAAGTAAAGAGTGGAAAAAAGCTTTAGTCAGTATAAAATGAATATTTATACTTATTTTCCCCTTCTTGATTCTTTTGTCAGACTCCAACCCCGCATACATAATGAGTGACATCGTTTGCTTGCGAGCCAGAGGGGGCCTTAACAACCAAGCCTAGGGATGTCAAGGCCTTTGTCACTGGGCACTGACCCTAGTTGCACATCTGTAGCCATCATGAGGACCTGTCCTAACACAAAGAGGTATGGCCATATATCTGTACAGGAGACTGTTAAGGTCCAGTACAGATATATGCCCTTTCCTAGTTAAAAGGAACAAGGCTGGGAGCCTAGAGCCAGCTGAGTGTCTGGATATATGGCATTATACTGCAGGGAGATGTGAGAGGCAGGAGGCAAGCCCTAACAGGCTTGCACACCTCATCCCCTGTAGGGGCCCAGCTCTTGAGTCAGAAAGCTTGCTTTCTAAGGAAGCCTCCAGCTTTGCCCAGCCTGAGTGGTGTGCTGAGCAAGGCCACAGCACTGAAGTCATAGGTGATGGTGGGAGTAGCAAGCAGAGGCCTGCAGAATAGGGAGGAAGAGCCAAGAGCTATAAACTCTGTTGAGGCAGTCAGGACCTGGCAGAAAGGAGAGGCACCCCCTTTTCTCCAGCTAAGATGGGAATTTTTGGTGATTCTGGGGATCAGAATATGAAGGCAGAAATATAAGAGCTATGTAAAAATCAAACACTATGCAAATCATTGCCTGGCCAGAAAACAAAGTATTTAAAAGGGCTGAGAGTGTTGGCCAATCCCCTCAGCTAATGCACACAAATTTTGAGCCCTCTATAAGAACAAAAGGTGAAAGAAAGCCTCAGTCAGCAAGGAATGAGATTTTAAGCCTAATCTCCCACCCTGGTTCTTCATTTGGTATCTATACCCCTAATTCTTAACTTTTCATGAGTCACGAATGCTCTTGAAAATCTGATAATATGGACTCAATCCCTGGAAAAATACACATACATGCCTACAAACAAAATTTGTGGGGTTTTTTTGGTATGTGAATTCAAATGGTTTATGAAAATAATAGACATGCGTTAAAACCTTTGTATTATGTAGTATTTAGAATTCAGAGGCATAGAAATGGGAAGTCTGAATATCAATTAAACAGGAACTGGAGAGAGGATTCAGATGACAAAAATGGGGGAAGGGAAAGGCATTACCCTCATCCTCTGTGTCTTCCCCATTGGTCAGTTCATACAGGGTGAACACAGAGTTGTTCTGGCCACTCCTGGAAACCTATGAACACAAAAAATGGTAATTGAATAAGGACCAATAATCGCCTAGGAGAAGGTAAATTAGCCAGCTCCACCTCTCTGACCCAGGAATGGTACCTTGTCTCAAACCAGGGTTCTCACCTCTGTAGAGAAGTGGCTAAAACCCACAAACCCTACAGGTGCTATATTTATATGTGTACACAAACATTCAGAACCACTAAACCACAGGCCTTCACGTGTCTGAGGAGTGACCTCTCATTCTGGTTGTTTTCCTGTTCAGGAATGGGTGGCATGTATTTGTTATATTTGGGTTGTTGATGCTTCTTCCCCTCCTTTCTTTCTTGGGAATGTTTAGATCTGGCAGTGGCTAAGAATCTGGGAGACAGAGTCTGTCCCCACACCCATAATGTTCAGAACATCGCATTCATATTGTGGACAGCCCCATAAAGGTACAGTGGGGGAGGAGCCCCATGTTTTTTTTTTCTCCTTCCTTTCCCCATTTATCTTCTGTGGCCAGAGACTCCAGCCAACAATAGTACTCGTGGTTCCCAGAACTGCATTCTCCAAACATGGCCTCATGTAGCCTCTGGCCTCTAACAGGCAAAGAAAGGGAACTTCTGTGCAGCCATGGAAATTGAGTCACTGAAAGAGTCTTGCCTGGAAGACCCACACTTCCTCTTTATGCCC